AGTGAGATGTTCCTCAATGACATTGCACTTGTGAGTCGTTCTCTTTGTTGATCTGACAACTCACTTTGTATAATGAAAAACTGTGCAATGAGATTATCCCCGAAGGGAAATGCGTCCCGCTGTCTGTCCTGCATTCCTTGGATATATTGTCCGAGGACTGTAGGATCGTCCTCATTTGGCAGGGCTGGAGGCGGTGCTCGAGCACCCGCTGCTTGCTGATGTCGAGCAATTGTTCTTGCATTTGCGTCCTGTACGGACTGACGAAATGATGGAGACTGTGCCGTAAAGATTGGCATCAGGTCCATCCATGCTGCCTTCAATCTCATGAGAAGGATTTCGAATTTTGATGTAAAAATGAGGAACTCTTGGTTCTGCCTTCTGTGGTTGAAGAAACTGAGGAGTCTGTACAGATACACGTTGGTCGCACCTTTCAAAAAGTACTTCTTCAGCGTGTTCTTGAAATAGTTGACTCCTTCATCAGGATCTTGCAAAAGGTCATTTTGGAGGACGGCCTTGTACATGTAAGCATCTCCAGTGAGTCTGCTCTTAAGCAATGGACCTCGCTTGGCTGCTTCTACTGTGGTGATTGTCACCCAGTCGTCCACGAGTTCTTCATACCTGAACCAGCTGAGTTTTCCGTCATACGATGGCGGCTGCTTGGCGGTCATCGATAAATGAAGTGTTTCCTCCGTGTAGCTCGGCTTTGCCGAACTTGTATAGGCTTCCATGAAGCCTTCTCCATCTGATGACATCTTCCCTTGGATCTCTGCGGAAAACCCGCTCCGCTACCACAAATTGAGGCCCACTGCCCCAGGTGCCTATCCCCGGAGGGAACTGGAACCCTGTGGTAGTTGAGGTCGTTGTTGGTCCCTGATCTATTCCGGAGAGAGTCCAATATGCCAGTAATGGATGATTGGAGGATGGATTGTCCCTGGTGGATTGTCTGATGGATAATCCTGTAAGCGGCCTGCAATGGCTCTTTTGTCCTCACGCTCGGATGGTCGTGATTATGCAAAAGGGGCCTTGAGCCAAATGTTGCGGGAGATCAATGGTCTGAAAAACAGAAAACAGGGGGACCCCCTTAATCAAAAGCGGCGATTACCTTTGACAGATGCAAGTCCAAGGCCAAGAGTCACTGATCCCATGAGGCAGCCACGCCCAGGGCAGCAGGTACAGGAAAACGACCGTCACCTCCGCTGGCCTCTGGAAACTGTGTTACAAAGAAAAAGGGCAAAAGAGAGGGTCCAAAACCCGGCAAAAGCGAGCCCGCCCTACGGTGGGGGAAATCGGCCGCTCTCCGAACAGGGGACGCAGCAACCCACTCACCACATCAGCTGGGCCATCAGGCTAGTAACCACCCCTGCCAACTCAACGACCAGGTCGCTCGCTTGGCTCATGCGTCGACAACGAACACAGCCATGACTCGAAGGATGCCTGCAGGAACCCACACATTACTTGTACCTAATTCTTCTTCCTATCAGGGCATTTGGGAATAACCCACCAATGAATAACCCACCAATGAAGAAGATGGGTTTCACAGCCGGCGGCCTGCTGAAGGAAGTCATCCCAGATTTGGCAAACCCTCTGACTTGAATCTATTCAAAAATGATGCCCACCCCGTTGGATGATATTGGACCAAAAGAACATCAGGAACCGAAAGAAAGTCATGGCTTGATGGTACGCTCCTCCTTTGGAGACTCACCCGCTACCCCCCCGGGCGCATCTGAGGCCTTGGGCAGGGCAAAGTCGGGGGCTGTGAAGTCTGCCTCCTGGAAAACGCACCTGTGAGCCGGCAGATCAGGGAAGCGATATGTCATGTGTGGGCTCTTTTTAGAAGATGGACCATGCTCAGTTTGGAGGCCCTTTGGCCAAACACAAATCAACCAGTTGGTTCCCTTCGACGCATGCTTGAAGCTTATACCTGGCATGATTAAAGGGAAACGAAGGAAATGAAGATAACCAGAGGAAGGAGGAAGAGGCAGTTAATACATTTGGTTACTTTCTTCTATAATCACACTTCTATCCTAGCTATCACTTCCTCATCTCTAACCATCACTTTGTCTCCTGTAAAGAGACTCCAGGGTTACAGCAAAGAAGATCAATCACCAAGATAAATATAAAAAAAGAATGCCTGCAGCTTCAAACGACTAGAAAAAAGTAGGTGTTTTGGTCATTGTATTGCTTTTGCCTGTTTCGTATCGTTTTTACCGCAAAACGACTAAGACGCCTAGAAATTTGAATTATTGGGTGTTTCCTTCTTGCACAGGGCGTTCTCTCTCATTCAGCTTGATATTGCCCACTACACCGGATGTTCGAATCTTCAGAATTCTCAGAAACATCTAAACACTTCGAATCCTTCCCTCCATCAACACCCTTCAATCCTAGCTGTGCGGGGGAGTGGTGCGCAAATCGGAGCAAGTTTAGTCTAAACATGCTTCGAGTGAGAAACGCACTCACTTTGTTCGTACCACTTTTGGCCGCAAAACGAGCGCAAAAACCCGCAAAACGCCAGCGAAAACCCGCAAACGAGCGCAAATCCCAAAAAGTGGGTCAATTGGGGTTGTTTCATGCACTGCCCGCTCAAAAAAGCATGCCCGGATTGGGTACCGATGTAGGGTCATGCTTGCAACGGGAAATGCAAGCACCGAGAAAGGAAACTATATCGATATGAGGTCAGATCTTGTTGGCTCAAATATCCTCCCAAACGGCCAGCAGCACGTTAGACGCCGGCCTTCGTACTAGTTTTCCAGCGGTTCGTACTAGAACCCCCAGTTTTCCTCCAATCGTACCCATTACCCAAAACGCCCAGAAATTTCTGGGTGTTTGAATCTCCAGGTGAAGGAAAAGTCTCTCCGTCTGGTCGTTCCCTTCCCTAGCCGTCTTCAAGCGATTTCCCGAGCCAACTGTCAGGATGGACGAGTGGCGTGACATCATCCTTGCCCTTCCTTCATGTCGTTACCATTCCTTCCCATCCTGTCCCTCGGTCATGTATTGGGACACTTAACCGCTAGTAAATGAAAAGTGCCTGAGAATTAACGAAGGAAGACAAGCGATTGAAGAGAGCGGGTGAAGAAGAGAATTAGCGCTTGTCCCTCCATCGTGAGTGATGGACGGGAGATGGAGGCAAGGCTGGAATTCTCTTACTAAAGTAATACTTCCAGAAGTCTCGTTCAGGCATGCCGCCCCAAAGTGTTGCTTGTAAGCACAGGCGAGTGCCTTTCTGTGTTTACTCATTCACTTTTGGGGATGCGGGGGAAATAGAGGGGGGGGGTCTATGTCATCTTCACTTGTCATTTACATCCTCTCGGGGAGCCGTGCCCTCATCCCCAACATGATGGACATAAGGAAGTGGCGTGGCCCCATGCGCCCGAGCTGTCACAAGTGAGGCGCCGACAAGTGCGCGACGTCAGCTTCTTCTGCATTGGCGCGTGCCTGCCTCACACAACTCCGCTGTGAAAAGCTGCGGGCAACCTCCAAACTCGACGCATGGTTGCAAGATCGGCCCACCTGAAATTCGCTTCAAACTTGCCCAGCAGGAAACCGCTAAACCACAAAAAAGAACTTATGTTAAAGGAACGTAGCTTTACCGAACTCGTACCTCTAAACATTCGCTTCAAGTTTGTGTATTTCCACCTCAGCCTGCCTGAGGTTCTCAGGGCTGATGTCCAGGCCCAAAGCCCTGGCCCCACGCCTGGCCGCGACCCGCAAGCCATGGGATGGGGTCGGGGGCTGCACCTGTTTTGAGGGCCCCCTTGACAACCATGGCAACTGAAAGGTCTCTAGAAAAGATGCAACCAAAAAGGTGGCAAGCCGCATACGGGAAAAGGTCCAAGGGATTAGATGCTTCATAGTTTGGGGGCGCTGTGCATTCCTAAAAGGATGCATATTAGACATGCTGAGTGGCGCGCCACCGTCACACTTCCCTTTTGATATGCTGCAACGCCTAGCACCCCCCCCCCCCCGCATGCGATGCTCGGGCCTGGCAGCCGCCAGGCAAAAGCCCCCCAGGCCGCAGCCCAAGTCGCAGGCGACGTCTTGAGGGCCCACATCCGCCAGCACACAGGCCTGCTCCTGTGCCACCTCGAAACCCCAGGCTTTGGGTTTCACCAAAAGCTGCGTTCCTTCAGCATACATCCCAAAACCGCCTGCTTAGGGAACTGAGTCTGCCCATCCAGGGATCCACCTGGGCAGCCCGACCGAAGGGCTTGTGATCAGGGGCACGAACTTGCCGGCATGCGGAGCCTGGTGGTTTGAGGCATCCAAGACTCGAATCCCATGGCAACAGTCTCCATGGAGGGGCCCCCCCCATGTCAATTTTCATTCCGTGGCATACCCGGCTGTCAAACCATGTGCAAACCCAGAAGCGCCCTCGTTTCGACATTCTCCCCTGTGCCCGGTGGTTCGGCGAAGAGCCTCCCCGCCTTCAGGGCCTCGTCAGCCATGCCTCGGCGCCAAACTTCCAACAGGTCGCTGGGTGCATCGCCCCACTCCCTATCTTAGTGGAAACGGAGCAAGCACCAACAAACATGACCCGTTTTCCAATATGGTCATGTTGGGAGAAACAAATCCTACCATTCCTACCCATTTTCGGCCGGCACAGCCGCGACGGGCAAAATCCAAAAATCGGCTTTCCGGAGCCAGCCGAACCAACCAGCCCACTCGAAGGATAGCGCCGTGGCCAAGGCCCCGACATCTGCCATGCGCCCATCGCTCGCTGGAAGCCCCGACCCCCAACTTTGTGAGGCGAACTGAGCTTTCGAGCCCCTTGCCCGAGAAAGGACTGTAGACTATGCCACTTGCGCACCGCGTCGGGTCCCAAACTTCCAGAACAATTGCAATGAGGAAACTGGGTCAAATCAATGAACCCATTCATCAATGCGGCTAAGTACCTCGGTATACCTGGACAGTGGTGCCTGCTCCAAGACACGTGGTCGCGTCTACTCTTGCTGGATGCCGGAGTTGCTTGAACCCGCCCCAATGAATGCATCATCTGGCCGGGCCTGCGAGCCGCATTGCCTCAAGCAGCAAACGCACCAGAAAGCAAGCAAGTTGCATGCAGGCAGCCTGGGAACACACACACACACACACACCTGTCTCCTCGCTCCTGATTTAAAATTTAAGTTTGGGCCCTGTCAGTATATAGACGCCTCTTTCGCACTGGAGGTGCCTCTTGGGGCCAGGCTCTGGCGCACACAATGGCTCGTGCCGTGTCACGCCGGGCGGTGGCCGCCCTCGGATCGCTGGAGCCATGGACGAGCACGCGGACAGCTCCGACTCAATGCGGTGAGGGCCCTGCCAGCTCCGGCCGTCCTGCGAAAGAAACGGTGGGAACCCACCAGCGGTTGGTTGCTGCCAAAATCTGCAAAGTGAGGGAACGTCTCCAAGACTGACTTTGCACACCCTTCAGTCCGGCAGACACGGGAGAGCGGGTCCTTGGTCGAAGCTGGCAAGATGCCACTTGTATACGCTGGCGCAGGCTCAGAGGTTCCACGTGGAATTCTAGCCCAGCAGGGCCATACTCAGGGTGTATGGATGTGTGTGTGTGTGTGCGCGTTGCTTTTTCTTCTTTTTTGGGGGGGCGAGGGCACCCATATCACCGTGTTAAAAAGGAAACCAACAGGAAATCCGCCCATGTCTGGGGTCCTCCTACTTTGACACGTACATGTCCAGGCCGCAGGCTCTGCGAGGCGTCTCCCTCTGGCCTGGCATTCGGCAAGTGGTCAGAGTTTGGGCGCCAAGCAAATGCCCAGCTGTAGGCGGACGCATGCTAATACTGCCAAAGGCGCAAATGAATGGAACTCACCAGTGTGGAATAGTGAATTGGCTTCACCTGGCCTGGTACAATGGATGAGGCATCAAAATTGGCCCAAGTTCCTTTCCGTTTCTGGCATCAAACCGCGGGCAATGGGTCCTTTGCCCCGGCCTGAGGTTCTTGCGGCCGCCGCTGCCGCCGCCGCAGCCACCTGCCGCTGCAGCTTTGCTCTGGGACCAACTCTGCGCAGGCAATTGGCTTCAAAGCCCCTGGCAAGCGTTTGGACCAAAATGGGATGGACCCCCCCCAATCTCAAGAAACATGAGGCCAGGTTCCCCAACCCCAAGGATACCAACTCAAAACGCGCAGTTGAGCCGGCACCTGGCCTTGGCCACCCTGGCCACGTTGAGCTTGGAAGGCGGGCTCCTGACGCCATGAAGAGTCCCGACTCGCGGAGCTTTGCAACAGCCACCAGGTGGGCATGGGCAATCTATGAAGGACATTGAGGGAGACGAGAGCTAAAAACAATAAGATGGGGGAAGAACCCTTGTCCTGGATGCCACACCTCCCAGCTGCCCCTAAACCTTCCCCACCCCCTCCGCTTTCCAACAGGAAGCTAGCGAGGTGAAGGGCTCCCCCAAGCAAATACCCAACCCAAGGGGAACTCTCCAAGTGCAGTATTTTCATGCTCCCGTCAAACCATTCTGCTGCAACCAGTATACCTGCCCCAACCGGCCTCTTCAAAGGCTGTGCCATGGCATCCATCTTTGGGGCGCACGGGCCAAGAAATTGGCAGGAGCTTTGGTTGCACACTTCAACCCCGGGCCATGCTTTGCACACAGCTGCGTTCGATGCTGTCAGGGGTGCATCATGATTGTGTGGACTCTCTTCTGCTCAGAGGCCAATGCGTGCGAGCCAGGGCTGCAAACACCCAATCACAGCATGGCTGTGCACTTGGAAGAGATGAGTCAATGAACAACAATTACTGATACCTGCCATGCAGGGCGGCAAAAGCATGCACGCCATGAAGAACAAGCTCCAATCAACATTGATCAACACGACCACTCCTGTGTCATTAACATGGGCCCGTTGTCCGTGTCACCGTGTCTGCTGCGTGCAGCCTTTTCAGCCTTCGAGCTGCTTGTGCTTTGCGAGGATCGGCCTCAGCCAACTTCATTCATGGAGACAAGCGGTGTATATACATATATATATATATATGTAGATATGTGTGTGTGTGTGCGTGTTCCTTGCAGTGTTATTATATACGGATATAGTTCTTGCCCTTCAACGTGTTAACCTGTTTCTGTTCTATTGAGTTCTTTGGTCATCAGTACATTCTGTCTTGTTCATCCTTCATCTTGAATATAATTGCATTAAAGCAAAGATGTAGACAAGAGATAAAGGCATTAAATCTCCTCGCCAAACGCCAAACCTCAGATTTGGAACAAACAAATCCCCAAAGTCGGCGCGAGCCCAATTACAAGCAAAGCCCTACCAAGTGGAGTGGTGTTCACGCGTCCAACCCTCATCTCAAGGGCCAAGCCACCAACTCAGCGAAAGCGAGGCGAAACTTCCAGCAAAAGCGCGGGCTCCCCTGCCTTGCAAGCTCAGGCGCGGCCTGTGGCCTTGGATCGAGGGCAACTCCGCACCTTCTGAAAATCAAGGCGTGTTGCGATGTTTTAGACAATTTTAGACCTCACCTCCCCCTTGGCTGCTGCATGCTCCACCTCCATTTTGGCGGTCTGGTTTTGACTGAACAAAGGTTGAGCACCCACGCGCTGCCAGGAGCAAGCGGCGCTGCCACCTGCGATCCAAATACGGACGGCTGCAAGACCACGGGAAGAGCAATCACACAAGGCGCGACAGGGCGTTTCAGCTCGGTGTACTTTGCTGGTTTCTAGCTTTTGCAGGGCTTTCACTGCTCTTTGCAGGTGTTGTAGAGCTGTTTGCAGATAATGGATAGCTTTTTGCAAGGCGTTTCTTGGGTGATTGGCTGGTGCAGGACCCCATTTGCTTGGAGCATACCGACTCAGCCCAAGGCGGGTCCAGTGAAGCCTCAGGAAGGACAGCTTGCGCCGTGGGTGTTCCCGCAAGGCTGTACTTTATACTTTGGGCCAGCCTCCGGCAAGGTAGACTCTCTCCTTCTCTTTTTCTTTGGGAGAGGGGGCGGGGTCGCTGTTAGAAGATGGGAGTCCCCTTGTATCCGTAAGCTTGCACAGAAATCCAAAAACCTGAAAACAATGGTTTTTCAGGCAAAGGACCCCTTTATCATGGCAAGCTTGTTTTGCCCCGAGGTGGGCTTCCGGCTGCGCTGGTCGGAGTCCCTCTGGCCTGGAGAAGCATGCCAACCAAACCCTCCCTGACTGGAGGCATGTTACCTGCTCCTTCTGAGGGGAATGTGCGCCACTTGGCGCGTGATGGATCCATACATCGGCAATCACTAGCAGCATGGGTCCACGGAAAAAACCTGTGCCAAAACGGTTGGATTCACGATACCAAGCCAACTCCCATGCGTGAGGGGGGTAGTCACTTCAAACCCTGGGGCCGGACAAAAGCCTCAAACCGTTGGGCAAGGTGAGTTCGTGACCATGCTCTAGAACCCATTCAGTGTCACCCGATGTCACCCGAGCGTATGCGGACCCCAAGTCCTAAGTCAAGGATTGGCGTCCGTCGCCCGCGTCCCTGCCTGGCGACGTAGCCGCCCACCTCCACAGCGCCGTCGGGCCTGGCCAGGGACGTCGGCTGCTGAGTCCAAAGAAACCTACCGTGAGAAATGGAAAACACAGGGGGGTTGAATAAAACGCGTTTCATGCCCTTAGCGTTTTACGTTTCAGGTAGTTGTTCTGCCAAGCGGGCCCCTCGCGGATGATGAACTTTTGGCCGTTCTCGAACTCTGCGACCCTGTCCGTGACGTTGATTTGGCCCAGCCTCGGGACGTGGAAGTGGAAGGCCAAACTGCATGTGCTGAATTGTCCATTGATATTCAGATGTGTTGGTCTGATACTCATCAGAAAGAATGAAACAAATAAAAAGCACTTCTGCCGGTGTTCCCATGTCCCTCTGGAGCGGGGGAGTCTGGGGCGCTGGCTTGGCACTGGAATGCTGCCATCGGCCCTGTAAGGCCTGGCGCAAGCCAAGGGCCCCACAGCCCAACACGGCAGAAAGGCCTGCAACGTGCGGGGAAGGCTCCCTGGAACCGGTGCCACGGCCTGCGCTCCCAGTGCAATGCAATGCATCCTTGGGTCTGTCCGACTGGCTCCATCACATTCCCACGGCCTGAGCTCGATGGCTCGGATCCTGACGCTGGCAAGGCGTTGGGTGGCTCGATGGCAACGAGACAATACGTGACATGCCAGTCGCCATCTTTCCCGCCCGCTCCCTTGGCGCCTGTCTGTCAACACCCGGAAGAACAGCCAGCCAAGCTGGGGCTCCGCGCCGGCTCTTCGTACTCACTCACCGACCCCTGAGGGCATTGTTGGCTGCCACCGAGGGCTATGCCTCAACACCGAGGCCTCCGAGCAGGAAGATGGCGGCGACGGGTCTGGGCTAGCAATCACCTGAGAATGCCGGGCACGATATGCCTGGATGTTTGGGTTGCACCTCAAATCGCGTGCATGCGCACAGCACGCGTGGCCTTGGCACGAGCCTCACGCGTCCTTGCCTTGGGCTTAGCTTTGGCTTTGCCTGCGCAAGCGTAAAATCATGCCAAGAATATCGTGAGCTGAAATCGTGGCCTTGTCGCGATGGCCTTTGCAGAGCGAAATGCCACTACAAGTTGCGAGATGTTGCGATCACACGCCTCTGCCCCTGTCTGGAGGAGTCCCACCACTTCCACAAATTGGCCTGCAGCAAAGTCGCCACCATCCGCATGCTTGTTGAAAACCACACTGGGATACCGACATGGATTTTTCCCATTGCTACTCTATGTCACTTTGAAAGGATTCGCTTGGGATCACAGACGGCCACGTGTCCCACCATCCGCCAGCAACCTGTGAGCCCCCTCTTTTCGGCCCCCGCTCGCGCCTGCTCGTCCACCTCCTTCTTGGGGGCGGGCCGCGGCTTCGGGCGTGGCGACAACGGGACGACCGGCACCGGGGACGGGGATGGCAGCGCCCCCAACCGCGGCGACAGCGCAGCCTGAAAGGCCAGCTGCCAACACAGAAGCAGTCCCCCACGGGCGCACGGGCCTGGCTGGCAAGGGATGCCTCCACCGACTTGTAGGCCTGCGCAGGAAGCAAGAGTCGCAGCCTGGACTGGACCTCAAGTCCTGTCACCTCAGAAAGGCGGGCGGTCCATGGCAGCAAAGCGCATGCCATGCTCTCAAACAGGCTTTTGGAGTTCAAGTTAAGATGAGTTGAGTTGACAGATCTTCCGGAGATCACGTGAAAACAATTCAAGACCTAACTCTTGCTTTCCGAATACGACATGGCTGAAAAGTGGAAGAGAGGAGCGCCTGGTGTTACAAACAGAAGTGCTCAAAAAAGAACCCGGAGACCTCGTTCAAAAGGCGCTTGAAGACTACCGTCTTCGAAGCTGGTCTGACCTTCACTGTGGAATAAAGGAGACGTCTGCAAGCTTCCGCCATTTCGTGCATCTTTGCTTTGCAAGGCAAGTTTATACCGGTGCCCTGTCACAATGGACCAAAACAGGGTCTGACTGATGTTGAGATACATTGGTAGCTCGCAGCAAAAAGGGTAAAACTACTCACTAACCACTTGGGTGGAACCTCCGAGCCATTGGTTACAGCATCCAACCGAGCCCTTACTTTCCGCAACCAACATCACATGTGACTCATGTGACGCATGTGACGGAAGACATGTCAAGCGGCCGCGGGCCTGCAACATTTCGCCCCTTCCGAAAAAGGGAAGCAAAGGGACCCGCGTCCAACAGGTGTCCAGAAACCCACTAGTCAATCCCCCCCCCATTTCGGGTGAATCGCTTGCAGTGGAGTAACTACACAACTGGGCTACTGTACGAGCTTCATGACCATCCCCAACCCCAAGCAAAAAGGTGTTTTGACTGTACCAAGCCAAGGGCCTCTTCAGCGATGCCGGAGTCCCTGCAAGGAACACCCGGCCTCTTTGGCCTCGGCCAGGCGGTCCCTGACGGCTTGCGAGGCGACCTCCGCCTGGGTGCCGGACAGCTTTGGTCCGTGGTTGTTTGTTTCAGCGGGGTGTGCTTGGGGCGTGGTGTGCTTTGGACATTTCAACAAAAAGGGGTGCACGGCCAAGGAATTCTCCAAACATAGCATGGTTCACCTGAATTGCTCCCAAAATCAAAGGCCAAGTTGATGCACCGAAAGAAATGGCCCTCCGGGGTTGTTGGGCGACAACGGCCCTCCGGGATGACAAGCATCTGAAAAATGTTCACAATTATTCATCCTCTCGCGGCTTCCTTGGGTATATAACACGAACCAATCAAAAGTTGTGTGTGTGTGTGTTTTGTTTTTGAGGGTTTAATGGGAAATCACCACGAAACTACTCATTTTGTGGTCCAAATCCGTATGTTGACGCAAACCCAGGTGGCCAACATTCATGGACCCCCCAACAACCGACCCCCCCAATTCAGAGGTAGTGGTTGTAAGGTTCCAAGCACACCTCAGCCCTTTTGCCATTTTGATCCGCGCAACAAGGGTTACTGGCATGGTTTTGGCGGCCGGGCATGGGTCGAGCGGGGAATATAGGAGAGAGAAGAGGGGGATGTCGGTTGCTTAAATCTATGTAAATCCCGAGGTTTTATGGACAGACCCCCCGCTTCAAAGCCTCTTGCCTTGTTTCTGGAAATTCTTGAAGTATGCCCTTGAATTGGGGGGTCGGTTCTCTAAAGCATCGTGGTTTACGGAGAGTTGCTGGGGACCGACCCCCCAATTCAAAAGCGTGTTGCTACTCTTTTTTTTCCAGCAAGAGACACAAGTGTTGGAAAGCCAGTAAGTAAAACAGTCAGGGCCGACATTCAGGAGCCCTTTGTGTGCGTCTTCGATGTTTGCTTCTGACGTTATTGCGACCAGCCCTGTCCTCCCAAGGACAATGTCTTGCTTTTTTTGCAATGTGTCAGCATAATAGGTGTGACTCGAGTGGTTTAGAGTGGGTTAGAGTGTTTTAGAGCGCTTTAGAGTAATTTGGAGGTATCAATGCAACATTGCCTTGAATTGGGGGTCGGTTGTTGGGGGGTCGCCTCAGGGACCGAGGCCGGAGCCACTTCCAAGGATGTCCGCGCATCCTTGCAGAACTCCCGGGCCAGGCTGCCTAAGTCAAACAAGACCTAAATTCCTTGGCCCCCTCACTCCCCTCCCTCCTCTTTGAGGGGATGGGCTTTGGCCAAATGTTGCTACCGGAGACGAATAGAGGCTAATGTGACCCCCTTTCCGTACTTGGTACATGTGGCCAGTGTCGTTCCTTCAGTGCCATACCGAAAACGCAAACAACTCTTCGGCTCCAACACCCCGAGCCCCGGACAATGCTCCGGCACGGTGCCTCGATGCAGCCACGTGCAGCCACTTCAAAAGGTTGCAGAACGAAACGATGCAGCAAGCCGACAGCCCAGGAAAGACGGAAACTCAAGCGCCCAGAAGTCCGGTGGGTTCTAGCCATTCAGCGGCGGCATGAGGTTCTGGCCCAAGGCTCGGCAGGCCGCGGTCCCTTCCGGCGTCCTCAAGTCGGACGTGCCTTCTTCAAACTGCCGTCGTCTGACTTACGTTCATCCTGATGTGGTGAACCGGTGAAGGTCAAACCCTCTATGTCAGAATTTCATGGTTTTGGGACCCACATGGACCCACCTTTTCGTGGCCTCAAGGACCATCATACAGAACCAAACGGCACAGTACTTTGGAAAAGGAACACCTACGTCCAAATGGCGCGCGTTGAAATTACTCGCTAGCTGCAAGCGTTGAATTCCTCCGAAGAACCTTCACGGGGTAAGCTCTTTACACCCCCAAGCGTGGTTCGAGGCTTTCTGGAAAATCCAGCAGAAATCAATGCCATTTTGAAGGGACCTGGATGTTTCTCCTTTTTGCGCAAATCAAAGGCCCGAATACGACAAATCAAATCATTCGAATTTGATGTGTCCATGTGCGTTGGCCATCGGAGGTCACGGTCTGGGGTCACCGGCGCCATCAGCAAGACTAAGGCCCAGCAAAACCGCCTGAGAGTTTCATCAGTCAGCTGTCAGATCTTGTTGGGAGGCAGGAAAGTCGCCTATAGGCCGCCAGGGTTCCATCTGTTCTTGGGTGGTCTACCTTGGGGTAGCCAAGCAAATGGAACTCTGTGGGAGACACTGTGAATGGAATCCGACGTTAGTTTAGACATCCCCCTAGTCGATGAACCTTAGCAAATCAAAACGAAAGTGTCCCGCACAAGTGGGGATTTACTTCTTTGGACACTTCAGCCCTACAGCATCAGCCGGCTCCGTTGTGACCAGCCTTTGTTCGCGACTAACGGAAGGAGCTGTTGTGACAAGCTCTTTGATCAGTCACAACATGGCCGCTCAGCCTCTGCAACATATGCAGTGCCAACTCCCGTGTCTGGGGCCCGTAGCAACAATTTACTTGAGGCAGGTGCTCCTAAAGCAAGGGATCTTCGCCAATAATTTGCATGCGGGGTAGGCAAGGCTTCAGGCCAAGGGCACTTGAAGCCAAACCCGAAACCGTGGGCCATTGGCGGGATCCGGATCTGTCGGCCACCGGATCTCTGGGCCTCCCCTCTTGGAGTGCGGTGGCTGCACGGAGTCCAGCAGCTGGGCGAGGAAGAATTGCAGACCGTCCTTCTCCCAGCCTCAAGGCATGGCACGTTGCTTCTTTTTGGTTTCTTGGGGGGGCTGCCTGCGGCACTAACTGTTTAACTAACAAGGCCCCATCATTTCTTGAAGAAAAACAAACAGCAACACCTTCCGGCTGTTCTTGGCTAGTAGCCCATGTAGATTGCAATCCGAATTCGGGACCCCCTCTCTCTCTCTCTCTCTCCCAAATTGGTGGACATTGCTGATGATTTCTGCCCAAAGGCGTTCAAGTCGCCGGATGCTGGTCAAACGGAGCTTCGGGACAGGAACCGTTCAATCACTCCCTACCCCGAAAAGCCATGGAGATGAGAGCAAAGAACCGTCCACTGACTTTGAGACCTGGTTGTGCGAGTGATGAAAACTCACTAGCGCCTTGCTGTTGGCTGAGGAGCCTTGCCTGCCTGTTCAAACCAGGCCTTGCTGGGTTTGTTCCTGACCCAACGAGGCTTGCAGTCGTTTCTGAGCTGAGCATAGGGCTTTGCATGAAAGCGTTGTGTACTGCATCCCCAGCTGGTGTAATTTGCCAGTGCGCCATCCATCTTGCCAAATCGTGCCCTTCTGGAACCAACAGCGGCCAAACAAGAACTCTGACTCCCCAACAGCCCCAACATGGCTTGCCAAGACGCTAGCTGCCCGGGCACGTGCAAGGTCCAGGACCTGAGGCCATGCTTCCCGTTGGACCCACCATTTTGAACACAAAGGCACGAAAACATCGCATATCCACGCCAGTATCTCAAGCATGCACAGGATGCTCCGTGCTGCGATTGGCTGATGCCCCTCAGGCGGTGGCCGGCACTTCGCAACGATGCCTCAACGCAACATACCTTGCTGTGGCACGGGCGGTTCAAACTGCGCACATCCCACGCACTGGGCTTCCAGCAAGAGGGTGCCAGCGATCATCTTTGCAACCCTGCTGCGCAGGGCCTGCACCAATGACTCGTCCCGGGGCGCGCAAACCCTAACGAATGCTGGTCAGCGTGGCGTCCACGCGATCAAGTGCAGCAGGACTCCCCGGCTTGAGGAAGAAACGGCGGACGGCATGTGCGCAAGTTTTGGGGAACCGGGCGGCCGGGTCGTGGATGTCGGCATGCCTGAGCAACAGCATGCATCGACTGGAAAGGAACGCGTGCAGCCGTTCCCGTCAAACACACAGGGCCAGTCCCTCCACCCCAAACACGAAAATCGCAAACGCCGCCAGGTCACAGCACCTCATCCCCTGCAAGGAGAAAACATGTCTCCGGGCATTCCATCCAGGCTGAAACAATGCTGAAATATTTTGAGACATTCGTGCCACATCGTGGTACACGAGCCTTGAGCCGCTTGGGCTGGCTCGTCCTCCACCACCTCGTCATCCTCCTGGGCAAGCCACCCCCCCCACGTGCCAAAGCCCCCTGCTTGAAAACGACCGCCCGTTGCCTGCACGGTCGAAGGCAGGAGCTCCAGCATATCTCCCAAGATCTTCAGAACCCGCCAGGATTGAAGCTTGTGCGCCTGAGCCGCTTAGCCGCTTAGCCCTCAGCTCAATCTCGCGGCCGCGAAAACAAGCCTGTTCGCAGGCTTGCCAAAGATACATCAAGCAAATATCTCAACCCCAATTTTTCCGGTTGCCACTTCAGCAGGGAATCTGGGGATCCAGGGGAACCATTGAGTCCTACAGGGACCTGTTCCGAAAGAGGATCTCTACACCAGCCAGAAAACAAGATTGACAAAATGGCTCAGCTTGGCTCCCAAAAGCTCAGGGCCCAGCATCGCAGGCCTGCTTCAGCATGAGGAAAATGATTGGCCTGTGCGCTCTGAAGGGCTACAGCCCCCCTCAATGACTTTGATTCTACTGAAATGGTCATGCAAGGGCGCAATTGCTAGTCCGCCGCCCCCAGCATTCGTGGGTCTTGGTGACAGGTGATGCACGCGATCTATCAATTTTGGGTCTGACTGATATTCATTTCAACGTATTGGGTTTCCGATTGCTATCTTGCGGGCATTGTGGTTTGGCAGGGTGTGCGCGACTATAGTGGGTTGCAGCAGCAGCATCAGCAAAGCAGTAGCAGCAACAGCAGCGCAACTAAACTGTGTTTTGTTGGGGGAATTGAGCCCTTCAGCCCCCCATGTCATGCTGATTCTCATTCCGCTCATCCCTGGCTCATTGGCTCCTCAATGCTCCTCAGAGGCCAAGCGGGCACATAGGGTACACACACACACGCGCACACAAACGCGCCAGCACACACACACACACTCACACTCACACTCACACTCACACTCACACACTTAGACTCCAGATGGAGGGCGCTAATCCTTTCGAGTACAACTGGTAAGTCTCGGCTTGGATAAGGTTCTTCATGAATAAGTTTCGGCTCGCAAAGCACTCGGCTTCCCTCTAGAGGCGAAAACGTTACCCGAAAGAACAAGAAGCACAAACAGCGCCGCAACCAAGGGGCCAAATAGACTTTCAGAATCACGCAAATGTTGCAGGTACACAGCACGGCGTCCCGTGTTGCTTCACGACAACTCTGGACGGTCTTCGTTGGGCAACGCGACCCAGAGTGTCCGTTGCCGGTAGGTAGGTCCCCTGCATGTTGAAAAGTTGGCATCAGGGTAAATCTGATGCTCCGCGCACACACGCCCCCACAGGGGCAAGTGACGGGGCGGCTCTGCCTGCCAGACAACTTTGAAACGGACCTATGCCAGGGCTGGCTCAGCCAGACGACCTTGAAACGGACCTATTCGAGGGGGTGGCTCTGCCTATACGAGGGGTGGCTCTGCCTGCCAGACGACCTTGAAACGGACCTACGCAAGGAGTGGCTCAGCCTGCCAGACGACCTTGAAACGGACCTATTCGAGGGGTGGCTCTGCCTGCCAGACGACTTCGAAACGGACCTATGCCAGGGGTGGCTCAGCCTGCCAGACGACCTTGACAAGACGATCCGCAACATCATGGAACAAGCATTGCGCAAACAGAACATGCACGCACAACCCGAGCATTGCATAACCAGAACATCAAGTTCAACGGCATGGATGCAATCAGCAAGCAGCTCCCAGGCACTTGTGAGACGTAGCTATGATCTGGTGGCTGTCTTCCCTTTAGTGAAACCTCGTTCCTGCTTAAATGTGAAATTCCGCTGTTCTATGATAAGCACGTTGAGGTCAAATTTTCCGACAAAGCCGGCCCGGGGTCACACGATGGGTACACGCGAGGATTCCCCACGAATGGGGTGTACACACTTAGACTCCAGATGGAGGGTGCTAATCCTTTCGAGTACAACTGGTAAGTCTCGGCTTGGATAAGGTTCTTCATGAACAAGTTTTGGCTCGCAAAGCACTCGGCTTCCCTCTAGAGGCGAAAACGTTGCCCGAAAGAACAAGAAGCACAAACAGCGCCGCAACCAAGGGGCCAAATAGACTTTCAGAATCACGCAAATGTTGCAGGTACACAGCACGGCGTCCCGTGTTGCTTCACGACAACTCTGGACGGTCTTCGTTGGGCAACGCGACCCAGAGTGTCCGTTGCCGGTAGGTAGGTCCCCTGCATGTTGAAAAGTTGGCATCAGGGTAAATCTGATGCTCCGCACACACACACACATGGGGGCCGCACCCTGTAGCACTCAGCGGGC